CCCCAAAACCCCAAAACCCCAAAACCCCTTGATTTGGACAGATTATTGGAGTTCAAAGATTAATAAAATGTCTATTACAGTATCTCTCTAACAGTGAGCCAATTCTGTTGAGTCTAGAACAAGTAGGTAAGGTTTTCAAAGCCTCAAAGCCTGTATATCTCCTTGATATCAGCCCTTCACCCTATTAGATACAAGATGTGCTGATGTTTAAGGATCATCAACAGTGTCATCTCCAAGTATGACATAAGTCAAATGCTCATATTTTCCAACTTTTTCTCTGTAACTTATTCCGATGAGAGTCAGAGCCTTATTTTTGAAAGATTTTGAACGAATAGAGCCATTCTTCTTGTCACTATTGAAGGTCATGCGAGTGAGAGCTTCGAATCCAGTCTGCGACCCAACCTCAACATACTCTTGGAGTGTGCAAGAGGATGGAATATCAAAATCCTCGAGGTTACAGTCTGTGATACCTCCAGATTTGATATTTCAGCCGTCCTCTACTTCAAAGGTGTCTATTAGGGTATTTCACAGATCGTATAAAGATGCGTTCCAGGCAAGGCACCCGGTTTTCTCAACTTTTTGGGAAGATATTTCAGCAAATATTTGATCAGTTTCTGAAATTCCTCAGTCAGTAGGCCTCAGGTTGCCTAAAAAGTCCTTGTAAAGCCCATCCTTGGTGTACCTCTTACGTATTGGGATCAGGAAGTTCTTTAAGAAGAATTCTGGGTCTTCTCTACACAGATTTAGAGTGAAATACACATCTTTGAGGTACTGCTCTAGCTTTGATGGAGCATCTGGAAAATTGCTAGAGTAGTAATGATCGTACATGTCTAAAGCTTAGGTTAGAGATTCGAGGTTCTTAAATGGTGACTAACCTTCTGGTAACTTCTTGTACGCAGTTAAGGCATCAGGCTGCTTATGGACGCTTTCTCAAACATTCTTAGGATAACTCAGATGGGTATTTATAGCCTCAGTATCTTGTGGTGCCATTTTGTACTCTTCAATGCTAGAGATTTGAAACAAGTGCTTACTTTGGAGCTGGAAAGGGTAATTCTATTCCTACATTATCAGGAGGACGATCCCGAGACACATGTGTATTCTTAGTTGTTGGTCATAATCCACCCATATTATATAAATTAGTATATCCAAAGGGGTTTTGGGGTTTTGGGGTTTTGGGG